AAGCATCTATTAAAAAGGAGGAGAGATGCCACAGAGAAGGACGATAGACGAAATGAATCAGAAGACGGAAAATGTATATGAAAGTTTTGAGTCGATTAAAATTAGCAGATATAGTTGGTTTTCTCAGCAGAATTACTGTTATTTGTTTTACTACTCATGATGCAAGAAGATTTCCATCCAGGAGCATCTCAGACAAGAAAAAAAAACTAAATTTTATCTTTCCTATTGCGAAGAAAAATATATTCATATGAATTTTCAAAAATTCTTTAACACTTAACGCCGAAGACATTCATGATGGTGCCTATGGATCCAAATCGTGCTTTTTAAAAGCAACAATGAGTCAGAATTTCCTTGAATGAAGTTTCAAGTCTTCGAGCAATATGTGTGCTTTTGAAACTGGTACTGCTTTTTAATGAGAAATTTCTCTATGTTAATGAAAATTTCACTATCATTTATCATACGTTTGAAAAAATAAATTATCGTTGAATAACAGTTTCAGCACCACTTAAAAAATATTAGCCTCCAAAGATGAGGAAGCAGGTGACAACAGTCTGACAACAAAGCTCTTCAAACGTAAAAACTTCGTAGTATGTCATTCAAACTATAGATCAGAGAGTTCTGAGAGCAGCTAGAATTTTGAATTTTCACTTTAGCGAAACAAAAAGATTTCTAATTGTACTTTACAAGATATTAAAGAAAAATATTATTCCCTTCTTTTTTTTTGGAATAGGTGACTAAAGTTCCAGCTACTATCAGTCTTCTGTCTTTTCAACTAACAACAATATGAAGTCTCATATCATGATAGAGGAGGAGAACATACCAAGTACCCCTTGGCGAGATCATCCATGATATTATTTTCAATATATGATAATCTCATTAGCTAAGCTATTGATGTGAAGTTATCCAAAGCATGAAAATTTTTATTTTTCTTCTCGTTAATTAAAATCATTATATTTTAACAAAATGTCTTAATTAGATTAGAAGTACTTTTCAGATCAGTATCACTGTGGCATCCAGATTCTTAAGTCTACAGCATTGGTTAGACAAATCAGTACATATGATGTTGCCGATTTGCAGAAGAGCCAAAGTTCTTTTCAATTGAAATTATTGAGACTCTTATGGTTATTTATCCAACAAAATAAGAAGAAAAATGATTGGATGATGGTAAAACAAGAACTCGAAATATGATTGGTTTAGAATCTCTATGTGAAGTGAGCATAATTTCTTATGCTTATGTGTTTTGCTAGCTTCTTTCGACCCTTCTTATCGCGATATATATGTGCCACGCAATACACCCAGTCCTTCTATTGGTTGCTTGACTTCTTTGGTTGAGAAAAGTACCAATGAAATCCAGAAGAATTCTTTGGAGAGGAATGTTTCTAAAGAAAATTCTATTTTCTTCGTTTAAAAGAAAATAAAGAACAAGTAAACGCTAGATGGAGGAACCATGTCTACAGTATAACATAATGAATATTTATTTCGACAAAAAAAATCTTTCGACTTTCATTTTTTTTTAATTTAAGAAGATGACTTTGATACTTCTTACTTATTGTTTTTTTTAAACAATGGCAATGATGATGAAGCTGATTATGAATTTTATTTATTTTTTTTCTTGTACCATTTGTCAACATCATATATGAATAAGTTTCATTTCATCCGTAATATGTGGACAGAAAAAACATCGTGAAGGCAGCAGTTAAAACAAATGTTAACTATAGTTAAAAAACTCAGGAGTTGTTGTTGGTCGAAAAAGATGTAAGCGTTCGTTAGCAAATTCAAATTTGATTGATTTATTTTAAGTTGTGACTAAAATATCGGATGTTACTTGATTTTGTTTAATACATCGTCTCATCAGACAATTTGTTATCAATTGATATTGAGACAGATTTAGAAAAAATTATCTATTCTATTATATGATATATCGTTTGACATCAGACAAGTCGCCTACTACGAGTGAATAACTCATAAATAGTCTAAAATTTATTTTCTCATAACAGTTCAAAGATTGCACTTTGTTGTTAGCAGTAGGAAACAAATCAGATACGTAAACTAGTCATCATGTTTCATTGATAATTAATCTGAAATTTTTTCCGAGAAAAATTTATCAACAAAAACAATAGATGTTTGATTGATACTGATACTTTTTTTCTTTGTAAGAGTTAAGTACTATACTCTTACTTGAATAGTTTTTCGTGACAATATCTGGGTTTTCGCTATATTTGGCACATCACGAGTATCTGCATCACCGGATAGAACGATTTGAATCTTGTAACTGTTTTATTCTTATTCTAGTTTAAATAAACTAAAAAAAAAACATTCATATATCTTCTAGATGTTTGAGTTAGTTTAATGGAAAAACTTACTAAGAATAATAAAAGTAGTTTGCAACGGAAATGAAACACCACTCATAAACAAACCAGCATAATCAGTATCCAAACTTATATTACCTTGAAATAATTGTGAATAGTAAAATAAAATAGATTGTTTTTTTCCTTTTCAGAAGATAAATGATGCATCAGTAAGGAAACCAAAAGAAAAAAATGAATGAACTGTTACTTGAAATATTCGTCTCCAACGTTATTTTCTTTTCTTCTAATTGATCTTTGTTTCACTTGATGATGGACAATAGGAATAGATATCATCACACAGACTAATATGATATAAATATCGAAATTAAAAATTGAAATAAAAGCGTTTTGTAACAACATTGAAAAAGTTTACAGACTTATCTTTGAAATGACGAAGTGTTTTGTGCAAAATAAAATAAATTGATGTAGTTCCTAATTTTGTTCTAATTTTAGGTATTTTTCTTTCAGAAATATTGTCACTAACTCATATCATATGAAGCTTATTCTCTTGTATATGTACTAGATAAATATTTAAAATAAAAAAAGTGCTTATAACAACTTGTTCTCAAGGAAAAAAATTTTCCAAACGTAACAGTGGATTGAGAAATGTTTTACTGATAGCTCTTATTACTGTTCTCACAAAGAATCAAATTAGTTTCAGAATAATTTTGAAATTAGATGGAATGTATCTTGGTTTTTTCTTTAACTAACGATTCACTTTGGAATTTTGTAAAAAATGCTAACTTTTTCTTCAATCAGGACGGTACAAACTTTTTACCAACACTTTTTTATTTTTATTTTTTTTGTTAAAAAAGGTGACAAAATGAGCATACATAAAGAATAGTCATCTAATTTTTGTGGGAAAATGTTGTATAAAATTTTCATCGTGGTTCCATAGTCGAGATAGAAATAATTCAAAATGATTTCACTAAGACAACTTTCATATGAATGAGTAGGATGAATATGATGCCAGTATCATAATTGATGCCATTGTATATAAATACTTATTCTGCACAATTGAGTCAAAGAAAAATCAGTATAGCTTGTGAAAAAGGCAAATAAGATAACGATTCGTATATAGCCGAGTGACTAAGAGCATGGACAACGTGACACAGGTTCGAATTCTGTGCGAATCCGTCATCTTTTTCTACTTTTTTTCGCCTATCTTTTTTTTTCTGGAATTACGTCAAAATTTATTTTCCTATGATAATTTGTATCATCTTCAAATCTCAGAAAAGGCAATTAACTCATCAAGCTAATTATGAATACTCCATCATTATATAACAAAAGCAATAGTCTTTAAAACTATAATTGATGGTGCTTGTTTTGAGTTATTCGCTAATACAGTAGTATAGCTATTCGGTTTAGTCAGATGGACAAAAAGATCAATTAAGTGACTAATCTAGTATAAACAAATGAATTTATTTCTATATAATACCCCTAAATATCCTTTAATTATTGACTTTTAAAAAGAAAAAAAAGTCGAAAAAGAGACCAGTTTTGAATTTAAGAAAAATTAAAAAACAGATTAAGAGAATAGAGAAGGTTTTGATTTTCTAATACACAGTTGAATGTAAACTTATTTTTATGCTCAAGATTTTAAAAAATTTTTATTCTATACTCGAATCTTTAAATAATTTTTTCGATCATGAATTAATAGTGTAAAGAATACTATGTGCTCTTCTCAGCATACGTATAGAAATTTTTTCTTGCCTTCTGTCATTCGCGATGATATATATATATACGCTTACGACAGAACGAAAGAAAAAAATAAAGAAAGCACAAAAAGGTTCTTCTTGCTGAAAACCTTGTTTGAAAATTTTTTGCTTGGGACTACACTATACCCCGCGCTCATATTCTAGGGTAATACTCAATTTTTTGCGCTCTTTCTAACGATACCAATCTTACGTATTAGAATTTTACAACATTTTTTTCGACGGTTTGATATGTTTTTCTCTTTTTCTCAAAACTTTTATTCTTTTGTTTTGGTTTACTTTTTTTTGCAGATTAATTCATTTATTAGAATTATTTCTATTTTTGATAAAGTAAGTCTTTGTTGTTGTTTTCGTTTTTATTAATTATTAAAATAAATATTATTTAATATATATTATGAAGATATATCATTCCGGAAATGATTAGTTTTAGTTTAAAATGAAATATAAATATTTGAATAAAATCATGATAGTCATGCAATAGATAGAATTTAATTAATAATATATTTTAGTAAATGTATTTATCAAATGAATATCGAACAAGATCAATAATAGACCGTTTATTTAATCGTCAATATGAAAGAATAGATATATTATATAGTTCATCTTGAACATATATATCATTATATATAAAATGTGCTATATGTATAATGATTATTTATTATTTAAATATATTAATTGGTTTTAAATATTATATATGGTCTGGAAAATCTTTTGATGATGAATATCATTTGCCAATGATACATATAGATCCAATTAAAATAGAAAAAAATTCCTGAAAATATATTAGGACCAGCAAAAAAAATTCTTTCAAATCAATTTATAATTGATAATAAATATCTATGTGGTCATTCAATTGATTCTAAAATAATTATTCAACTACATTCACTTATTTTAGTTAAATCAACATAATTGAATAGGAAAAAACGCATTTTTCCAAATGGCAACATCGACACCTGAAGAACTTGATCGACAACTTGATGAGTTTATCGATAAACTTGTCGAAGACAAAGATCATCTGCCAACCAAACAACTTGATGAGGCTTTTTGGAAAGTAAGAAAATATGAGAAATCCTTGTTTATTAAAGATTATTTCATTTTATATGTCTATTAGGATCTAGAACGACAGTTATTCTTTCTTAAAGAAATGTCAGAAGATGGTGCTGAACTTCATCCCGCTATCGAAGCTTTACAAGCATTGAAATGGGACGATGAAGATGATACACCTTTAGGTAGTAAAACTGTATTTAATATAAACTAATTGAACGATACTCATATGCAAACGCCGGACAGTAAACCTCAGTTGTTGTTGTAGAGACCTGTGATCTTCACTATTAGAAGGAGAAATATAAGAATGCATCAAACCCTATTTTATTGATTTTCTGTTTTTTTTCAAAAGCACAGCGAAAAACGCATTCTTCTAGTGATTTTGGGAGACAGACTGACTAGTTTCTATGGTTCATTATGAACTGACTCTAGTTATGTTCGTCTTGCTCTTTTTTTTACAGATTTTTGACCGATATAAAATAGAACAAAAACAGATTATTTATTAGGTTTATTCCTTTTTGTTGCACGACAAATAGTACTTTAGTGGAAGAAATGATAGAAGATGAATCCAGAACATGAATGTCCTCTTAGTCATTGATAATGTTGCAAGAGAAATTAAAATTTTCCTGAATTTTAATTTCTCCTGCGATATATGTATGATAGAACATAGTGGATGGTAGAGATATTCTTTAATAGTTCGATAATAAAATAGAAAGACACAGTGCGCCAGGGAAAGAAGGAGAGAGAGGACGAATCTGTTGCTGAATTGAAAGAGAAAGATAACGGTTGCATCTTTGTCTATTTGTGTGTGCGTCAGTGAGAGAGAAGAGGAGAACGAATTTATATTTCTGTAAAGAGAGAGAAGGAAAGCATGCTTTCGATGAATGTCCCTAAGTCACCAATTTTATTTTATGATAGAAATTTGTGTTGTCGTCATTACCTTTTTTTCATGTTGCTGTCGCAGGAAAAATAAAAATTCAGGAAAATTTTAAATTGTCCTGGGAGAAATTAAAATTTTAATTTTTCCTAAATTTTAATTTCTCCTACGACTATATATATGTGTTGTTTATTTAGATAGTCAATATGACTGAAATTTCTTTCAAGGACAATTTTTTTCGCATGTTATATGAGACAAAATTCGATGTAAGACACATTTTTACTTAGGAAAAATATAAGTTTTGTTTTAGGAAAAAGAATTGAAAAAATTATATTCTGATGCTGCAAAGCGTTATTCCATATATAATACAGGAACCGATGGTAATAAAAGCGAAGGTCATGTTACAACGAATTCCGAAAATCATTTAAATATAAGTATAATGCAAATAAGATTACTTGATGCATTCCTCCAGTATATGAAGAATATCGATGGGCATCAAGATGTATCACTTGGTGATGTTAAAGTTCAATTACTTGATAATATTCAAGATCAATCACCTAGTGTTAAAAAAATTCAGGAATCTACTGTTGATCAACGTGAACATGATGTTGATGCTGATAATGATATGAAAGAGTAAAATTACATATTATTTCTAATAAAATAATAATTTTTTTAATTTCAATGTTGATGAAGATCAATCTAGTGCTGAAACAACCTTTTATTGTCCAAAATGTAACAGTGTTATTGAAGAATAGGGTGTGGGTGGGTGTGGGAGGGTGTGGGTGTGGGTGTGGGTGTGGGGTGTGGGTGTGGGTGGGTGTGGGTGTGGGCGTTTGTGTGGGGTGGGTGTGGGTGTGAGTCTGGGTGATTGGATCC